GCTCTGGGGGACAGCAGGGCATAGCCCCCACTCCCAGCACTACCACATCTGCATCAGCGCTGGGAGCAAAGGCTCTGCCCTTCAGCCGCTTACCAGCCGGTGAGGGAGGCATAGGATGTGGGTGTAGCAGTGCTGGGAGCGGGGACTATGCCCTGCTGCTGCTTGTCCCCTTCCTCCTAGAACAAGTTGCACCCACATCCCACCTCCGGCTGAGCAAGTGGCAGCAGGGCATAGCTTCCACTCCCAGTGCTGCTGCTCCCACATCCTGCATGCTTTGCCCCCTCTCCCTGAGTAATGCACTTCCCTACCCCGGCTGGGCAGCTTGTCCCAGCCCTAGCCCCAATCTCCCCAATCTCTCCCTCAACCCCAACAGACTTACCAGCTGAAGACAGCTGTGTCAACTGCATGTTTAGTCTATGGCTGAATTTCTGAAGTGGGCGAATTTTTTCTGAAGATTTTCCAAATCAATTCAGGTGCTTCAAAACAATTTGGAGCTTTTAATTGGTCTCCTGATTTGATTTGGATTTGGAGATTTGTTCTTTGAATCAGGCTGAATCTCCTCCAAATCGAATCAGCTACTGAAGCTCCACACAGCCCTAGCTACAATCTATATCCCTGATTTTCCTAAGTATATTATGGTGTTTGTTTTTACCTTTCCGGCCCTTTTATAAGGGAACAGCAAAGTCAGCAGAGAGATTAAAAAAAAAATTATAAAAAAAAAAAGGAGTTTCCATCCTTTCTGATTTTCAAAAGTAGGTCTCTATCTTCCTCTCTGTCTTCCTCAACCCTCCCTCCCCCTTTCTCTATTTCGCTATTGTCTTGTAAACTGGCCCCAGAATACTGGAAATAAAAGTACCAAGACTCATATAAGGTATTATCTTGGTCCCTACTTGTCCTACCTCATCCAAGTAACATTTTTACCAAATAGGGTCATACCAACCCATTAAGAGCTTTCTTTTCCTTTTTCTTTTTCCAGGCCTTCTGACTCTCAGGGTAGTCCTTTGGGACTGAAATGCTATACTTGATGAATTTCCTTGACAGCTTCTGAGCTGGATGGAAACCTAGGTATTCTGTAGCTGATACTCCTCTGGTCCTATTCACTACTTATTTAATAAAAATTAAATGAAAAAGTGGGCAACTCTATAAATTATATGAAGTTATACTTTCTACCACTTTAGCTACAGGCTTTGTGCAAAGGATTCCAACTAGCCTACATTAGCAAAGACAAACAAAAGAAACCCCTTGAAAATAATTAGTTTGAGAAGTCTTTTGCCCTTCCCCCAACTTTTATCTTACCATAAAAATCAGTGCACAATTGTTTTTTTGTTTGTTTTCTCCTAGTGGTGCTTACTATAAAATACACTCAAAACTAAGCTTCATTTACAAATACGGGGCCACATTCACTGAAGCTACCACTGTAAGGTGCAAATTCACCTCACGCAAGGACAAGCAGTGTGTATAGCCATTCTTCTTGGTGTTTTGGGCGGAGGTGAAATGAAGCCTCTTTCCTTGGTAGGTAGGCAATTGCAGCTGCAGTCTGTTCCCAAATTTGCTTTTATCTTGAGCTATATATATAGCTACTGGCCTTTAACAATTGTTGAGTCCAGAAGTGAATATTATGCAATGTTATCTAATCTAGCTTCCTGCATCAATGATGACCACAGGGGGGATATTTTCTCTTACTATTGCACATCTACAATCCACTAGTCCACAGATCTGAGCCAGAACCACAGATGGTATAAATAATCGTGGTGCTAATGAAATTAATAGAGCTAAGTTAGTGTATAGAAATTAGCTCAGTATACATATGGGCAGAATTCTATCCGTGCAATACTTAGTAATAACAGCTATTGAAGCTTATCTGAGAAGACCTCAGCTCTTCAAAATGAACAAGGGCAAGATGATATTCTACTTCTTTTGTTGCTTGTGTGCAAAATTTCCCCCACCC